CCATCTTGCTTTCTGTCACAATCGAAAAACTGTCCTTCCTTATTAAGTCAACCTACTTCTTACTCCAACAAAATCCTTGCTTTTCAATTGCATGTACAATATTTCCAGTGATGAACAGTGAATACTGCCTTCCCAGGTAGAAACTTCCCTGAAGAAAGAGACCCACTGTTCTTTAGTGTATATTGTTGGTATAACTGCATCCTCATGGGCAATTTACACCGACTGAAAACTCAGGCTAAGGAAGGCAAGAGAGCAAGTAAGAGGATGAAGGAGATTAATGTTTTTCAAACTGTTCTCACAGTGACACACAGAGACACCCTGTATAACACCTCCTAATATTCTCACATGTGTGTACACCTTAAGTGTCAAAAAAGAAAAAAAAAACAAAACCAATACTTACACTAAGTGCAACACCCTCTGATATTTTCTATTATATTTTTTAAATGATGGCCAGGATCTACTAAACTGATTCCCAGCTCACCAGTGGGACTCACAGTTCGAAAAACACTGCAATAAATCAAACCTTACAGTTGCATTCCGCAAGCTACTAATGAACTCTTGAAAAATCAGCAGACAGCCCAGACGCTGACCAGCTACAAGAACCAGACACCCCCAGGTGGCAGAGAGGCCACTCCCTACCACTACCAGCCCTGGTTTAAGTATCTCCCAAATTCCCAGTGTTTCCCAAGTAACCCAAGGTGACTCTGTCATATGCCCCATTAACCTTTTTACAAATCCAGTTCACTCAATGTCTTGGGGTGGCAAAGTTCATTTACTGCCCACCGTGGAAAGCAATACTTGATTTCTGTCCCTTCCAGGAACTCGAAATTAAAACAAGTTGGTGCTCCTTGTACCTCTGTGATCTATTTGTGTGGGTGATATAAAAAGTCAGTCCGTCTCCCTCCCTCAGTCTTCATCTCTCCAGTCTTAATCACTGGCAGATGCGGTCTCTGGTGACATGAGAAACCAGGGAACCCCCTGGACCGGGGGAGCCATTCATCAGCATGACAGAAGTGAAAGCAAGAACTCACTCTGCACGCCACAGAAGCGCCTCGCTAACTCATCTCTAGACCCGAGCTGGAAAAGGGGAGGGAGAAGGGGAGTGGACCGACTTGAGGAGACAGTGACCGGCGGGGACCACCTCACGAAGGCTGGGCCGCAGCCCGCCCCTCCCCAGGCTCCACATCCCTGGGAAGGCAGGTGAGCGCAGGCGGGAGCGCGGGGGGCGCAGAAGCCTCGGGGACCCCCGCCGCCCATGGGGAGTGGGAAGGAGGACGGTGCGGGTCAGAGCCGCCCCGCCGGTATCCCTCACACTGACTCTCTGCCCCCACAGGGCCCACTATCCTCCCTCCGGCCTTCCTCACCCACCCCCGGGGACTGCGCCTCCCCTACTGCAGGAAAGAAAGGAAGAGGGTAAGAAGAGATTTAGGAGCTTGACGCCGCCCCTGGCCCCCCCCACCATACCGCTCTCGCAGCCCCGGAATATCCCGCCGCAGGCCCGAGCGCCGCCTTCCCCCACGCGGCTCTCCCCGGGCGCCTGCGCGCCAGGACCGCCGGGCGGGAGCGGTCTGCGAGTGCGCGCGCGCCTTGCGTGTGCCGGCGTCGGGGGTGGGACCTGCGGGGCTCCGCCCCTCCCTCCCTCCTCCTGCTCCCCCTCCCCCATACGCAGCCGCGGCCGCCGCAGGAGCCCGGAGCTCGAGCCGCCCAGCGACTCCCCCTCCCCCTCCCCCAGCCCCGCCCCGCCCCAACCCAGGGGCTCCGACCCGGAGCCGAGTCTGCGCCTGGGGTGAGTACGCGACCCTTCCCCAGCCCTCTCTCTTTTCTTTGAGGATCCCACCACCACCCAAAGAAAAAACCCGGACTCAGCTGCGCGTCCCCTCCCTTCAGCTTCCTGCGGGACCCAGAGGTGCCCGGGCCCGCGGGACCCAGCGGTGGCGCGCGCTGCCCCCCACCCCGCACCATCTCGAGCCAAATGTGAGTCCTCCAGCCCCTGCCAGGGGTCCAGATATGCGCCGCCCTCTCTCCCCTACCCGCGGGAGATCCCAAGGGGTGGGACCCCCGCCCCCGGCCTCCGAGTGCCACTCTTCTCCCACCTGCCCGGTCCAGGTGCGCGTCCCCTCCGTGCCCCTCCGAGGTTCCAGCTGCGCCTCACCTGCCCGCCGCCGCTGTGGGGAAGCAGCCGCCCCCGCCCCCGAGTTTTGGATTCCGGGGTCGCCAAGTCCGATGCCCTCGGTCTCTTTTATCTTTTCTCCTGCTGCCGGGGCGAGTACAGCCGAAGCCGGCCCGGAGCAGGGGTTCGGGCTTGGGCAAGGGCAGGGTTTGCGAGTGCTGGCAAGAGACTGGCTGCTGCCCCCGGCCGGTCTAGGGACTGGCCGGCGGGCTGGGGAGGCGGCTGGCCCCGGGAGCGTGTCCTCTCCTTGCGCTCCACACAGTGCAGTTCATTCATGAGCCGCCCGGGCCTGCGTTGGAGGGTGCGGTGGGGCAAAGATTCAGACGGAACTGGGAGTGGGGCAAAGGCCCTGTTGAGGGGAGGAGGCGCGCTTTGTCCCTTCTGGGCTGTCTTGACCACCTAGGGTGGACAGTCTCAAAGCTTGGCGCCTCGTTCCCCAGAGAAGGAAAGGACGCTTGGGAAGTGGGGAAGAGAGGTCAGAGGGGCCGCCTGCCCTTGGGGCTCTATGCTGCCACCTGCCTGGGTCCCCTGGGCAGAGATCTGGCCTCTCTGGGCTAGCCTGAGCACTCCACTGCCCTGGGGTGCTGAGGCTTTCCTTCCCAATACCACTCCCTTGCCTCTCCTTGGGTCTGCAGCATCCCGGGAGATGATGCTGTGCCTAACACTTCTTGAGGAGAGGCCCCCTGTCCCGAGTCCCAGGCGAGGATGAGGGGGGAGTGGGAGTGTCTGCCGGGCTTCAGGTGGGGTTGTGCTGGCAGCATGATTGTCTCTCCAGGGCACCAGAGGGTCTAGGTCCTGGCATGCCCCAGATGGCACATGCTGGGGCCTGCTGTTGGCTCACTCAACAGTAGTCTTGGCCTGTGGGTGGGTGGGTAGGTGGGTGGGGATGTGGCAAGGCAGAAGGTAGGTGGTGGGTAGCTAAGAACCTTCTTTTGGACATCATACAAGTTCTCTCCAATATAACAGCATCATAGAGACCTGGGTTCAAATCCTAGCTCCAGGCCCGGCACCGTGGCTCACACCTGTAATCCTAACACTTTGAGAGGCCAAGGTGGGAGGATCACTTGAGGCCTAGAGTTCAAGACCCGCCTGGGCAATAGCGAGACCCTGTCTGTACCAGAAGAAACACACACACACACAAATCCTAGCTTTGTCACTCTTTAGCTGTGTGACCTTGACAAGTTATTTAACCTGTCTGAACCTCAGTTTCCATTAAAAAGTGTGGTTACTACCATCTCCTTCCAGGGTTTATCATGGGGATCAAACAAGATAACAGGTAAAGGGCTTGGCACCCTGCCTGGTAGTTCGTTAGTGATGGGTTCTCTTTTCTGAACTTCTGACCATCCTGGCACAGCACCACCCTCATACGCCCCCGCCTCCCAGCTTGCTACAGATGGATGAAGTATGTTCAAAGAGTTTGGGGACATTCCCTGCCACTCAGTGGCAGAGTCCCTAAAACAATATAAGCCCTTAGATCTAAACAAGAAGCCCATCCTGACTGAAGGGCTCTATCATATTACTATCGTATTAAATTATATGTTTTTGTTTTATTTTGATTTTTACCAGTTTTCCTTCTCTAAACCAACCCCTTTTATTACACATCTTATTAATAACAATAGCTCATTTTTGGAGCCCAAAATATGCCTTGGACTATATTAAGAGCTTTACGTAAGTCATCTTGTTTAACCCTGAGAACAACCACACAACTGGATTATTGTTCCCATCTTACAGATAAAGGAACTGAGGACCAGGGTGATTAAGTAATTTGCCCAGGCTAAAAGCCAGGTCTTTCTCATCCTAGAGCCTGTGCTTTTTAACAACCAGCCTATGTTGCCTGTCCCCTACACCTGCCTCAGAACTTGAAATTAAAAATCCAAGGCCTGAGTGGAGGATCTAAGAGCTACAAGCAAGAAAAAAGGGAAGCAGGTAGAAATAGGGTGTGACTTTTCTCCATAGTGGTAGCTGGCATCCCTCACCTCCCTGTTGGAAGTGGCTCATCTATTTGCAGAGGTAGCAGAGTACAGTGGTTAAGAGCATAGACTCGAGGTGCGGCGGCTCACGCCTGTAATCCTAGCACTCTGGGAGGCCGAGGCGGTGGATCACTTGAGCTCAGGAGTTCGAGACCAGCCTGAGCAAGAGTGAGACCCCGTCTCTACTCAAAAAATAGAAAGAAAAAAAAATTAGCCGAGCAAGTAAAAATAGAAAAAAATTAGCCGAGTGTGGTGGTACGCGCCTGTAGTCCCAGTTACTCGGGAGGCTGAGGCAGGAAGATCGCTTGAGCCCAGGA